GTGCTGTGGGATTAACAATCAGAAAATACTGCAAATTTTAGAGTCCATTCAATGAAAAAAAAAATCAAGACTAGCTTTCTTCTGTGAAATGAGAGAATTTGGAATTAGTATGAATGCAACTTTTAGAATGCACTAAACCAAAAAATCTGGTACCAATATTATTAACCTGCTAATTTAGATTAACACCCTCAGACTGAACTTTCCTCCGAATATGCTGTTTCTTTTCTTTCCCTAGCCAAGCCCCTACTGTACCTAGCACCCTCTTTTTGTTCCCATCACCTTTGTTATAAAACAACACTTCCTTCTAACACCCAATAGGCCTGCTTCCCACAGCTAGAATTACATAGAAGGTGGGACATTCTCAAACTTTTTTTTGTACATATTGCTGTAACATGCCCTAATTTTGCATTATATCAACCAGATCCTGTATCCCCTTACTGAATGGCCTACTCATAGAGTCGCCTAAGCCACTGTGACTAAGCTACTTCTCAAGTATCTGGTTCCCATAGAGACGGAACAGCTACCACATTGTCAGGCATTCATTTCTTTATATGCCTGTGGAGTAAGGCCCAGCCACATGCTCCCCTTGACAATGCTCAGGAACACCACAGACTTTGTGCCCCAAGAAATAAGGCTTGCCTCTGAATTGCTTTAAAATTTTTCTCTTCAATGCCCCAATGGAACAAAAGGGCTGCAAGATGTATTGATGGACCTGAGTATTACTCACATTTGGAAGAATCTTTGATGAACCACGTATTTTTGCAAAGCATCAGCATCAGATTTGAGAGCAAATGCTGCCTGACTCTAAAGTTCTATGATGAAAAGACCATTAAGCAAGCTTTCTTGTATACTTCATGTTACTACTCAACATTCTTAGCAATGCATTTTTAATTCACCCTGTCAAAAAGGGAGGAAAGAAAACCTCTGGGCAACGAGGTGACAGACTGACCACTAGTTTTCATCATGAAGAAGGCACTTAGTAATGCTTCTGAAGAAAATCAAATTGAGGGTGGGCCAGAGAGATGATACAGTGTGTACAGCACTCACCTTGCTCATAGCCAACCTAGTTGTCATCTCCAGCACCCCATTTGGTACTGGAGCCCCTCCAGAAGTGATCCCTGAGCACAGAAAGAGCAGGGAGCTCTGGGCACTGCCAGGTGTGACCCCCAAAAAAACAAAATCAAGATGAGACAGTCTGAAGAGCTTCTACTCTCAGTAATGCCCTGTCAACTCTAATTTGACACCTACAGTCCTAACCACTCTTGTGTCACCTACTCACCCTCCAGTGACCTCCTTGCCTGCTGCAAGTGGTTGCTTTTATAGGCATTTTAGACTTGTCCAACAGTTACCTTTCTGTTTCTTCCAAATAAGCTTTTCCCTAGCTCAACTGATACATCACCATTCTTCCAGTAACTCAGGACAGAAACCTGGGAATGATTTTTTCATTCCTGTTGCTTACTGCACACTAGCTCAATAAAAATCACTTCAAATTCTATCTTTCTATCTGTCAAAGAATGCAATTCACATCTCTCCTCTCTGGCTAGTGATTCAGATCACTACCAAAATCTACACTTTGGTATTCCAACTTCTCTTTCCCTCTATCATTCTCCAAAGTAATTATTAAAATTGGTATCAGAGGACGAGTGATAGTACAATGGGTAGGGCATTTGCCTTGCATGCATCCAAGATGGCTTCAATCCCCAGCATCCTATATCATTCCCCCCACCTCCCCAAACCTCCTGAGCACTGCCAGGAGTAATTCCTGAGTGTAGAGTCAGGACTTAACCCCTGAGCATAGCCAGGTGTGACCCAAAAAGCAAAAATATATATATATCAGAACTGGGCATACCCTCTACTAAGTCCCCTAGTGAGTTCTAAGAGGCTGTACAATGAGAAGAACCCACTGACTCTGGATAAAAGATCATCTGTAACTGCCCTCATCCCACCCCCCATCGCTACATCTTCTCTCTCTCTCTCTCTCTCTCTCTCTCTCTCTCTCATCAAATTCTGGCACACTGACCTCTGTATCTCTCAGATACCAACCCCTTTGCTCAATCTACACTTCTGCTTGTGGCTGTATGACCAAATGCTCTGGAGACCTTACCTACTGAGGCTTTCTGAGGTTGCTTTTGCCATGACCCCCATCTTGTAAATGTAGACTAAGTTTACATCTAACATTTTAAATCTTTAAAGAATATATACTTTGGAACTTTAAAATGTTTATTTTTAAATCATATGTCTGATAACAAGAAAATAAATAAACACAATACTAAGTGATAGAACCTCAAAATACAAATGGTTGGTAATTTAAAAAAATTAAACTGATGGTATATGCAATCATTATTTTTAGATAGAGCTGAGTGAAAAATTCTAAGAAATCAGGGGTTTTCAAGTAAGGTGTGAATTTTCTGTGTAAGCCAATGATTTATGGCTTATAACTGACATGAAGTCAGTAGGTTATAGTCACCTCACTCTAAATAATCCAAATTTAATCATCTACATTTTTGTCTGTCTTCCTCTAATAGAAAATTAGATAAAACACCTGGAGTCACAAAGAAATAACAGAATCCTTAATTCCCCAAATCAATGATTTAAAGTACCAAAGACATGTAGTATTTTTTCTTTAAAGACTTTTAAATGAGAAACATTGTTTTCATAAAATATTTTCAGAAATTCTCTCCAGAGACTTATGAAACATAATTTTTATACAAAAACATTCATGCAACCATAAATACATCAAAAAGAATTTCTAAGACTTTGGAAATCCAAATGCTGAGCACAGCAACTAAAATTCTATCCATGAAAGATAGTTAGCAATATTATTCTTTACCTACACCACCAAGCGATAGCACAGTGGTAGGGCATTTGCCGGCCCAGCAGAGCCGGGTTTGATTCCTTCAGCCTTCTCAGAGAGCCCAGCAAGCTACCGACAGTATCTTGCCCCCGCGATGTATTCAATATGCCAAACACAGTAACAACAAGTCTCACAATGGAGAAGTTACTGGGCCCGCTCAAGCAACTCGATGAACAATGGGAGGACAGTGTTACAGACAGACAGTGCTACCTATACCACCAAAGGAAGTATTCTTACAACTCAAACGTGGATGTATTTATCCTATAGTCAGTCACAGACCCAATTTTATATTCCACCATGTAAATTTATCCCTACAGCAAAGGAACTTATGTAGATTATTCATAGACGGTGATTTAAAAGTAAATGACTGGCCCGGGAACAGATGACTGGTTAAAGAAACTTTGGTACATCTACACAATGGAGTACTATGTAGCTGTTAGAAAAGAGGAAGTCATGAAATTTACATACAAGTGGTACTACATGGAAAGTATCATGTTAAGTGAAATGAGTCAGAAAGAGAGGAATAGACATAGAAAGATTGCATTAATCTGGGGAACATAAAATAACAAAATAGGAGACTAACACCCAAGAGTGGCTGAGATTAGTACCAGGAGTTTTGTTCCATGGCTTGGAGGCCAGCCACACATTCTAGGGGAAAAGGGAGCTCAGATAGAGAAAGGAGAACCAAATAAAGGGTGTTGGGAGGATCCCCCCAGGATGGCAGAAGCATGCTGAAAGTAGACACTAGACCAAACATGATTGCCACTCAATGCCTCTTTTGCAAACCACAACACCCAAAATGAGAGACATAACAAAAGGGAATATCCTGCCACAGAGGTAGGGTGGAATGGGGGGGGATGGGGGTGGGAGGGATACTGGGACCCATGGTGGTGGAAAATGGGCACTGGTGGAGGGATGGGTATTTGATCATTGAACAATTGAAACCCAAGCACAAAAATTTGTAAATAAAAAAAAACCTTAAATGACTAATGTTACTAATCACTGAAAACACAAAACATAGAAATACATTGTCTTCTGATTATACTGAAATAAAGAGAATAAAAGTGGAGCACCAATTTAAAAAATTATAAATTTTCATCAATATATTTTAATTTTTCATCTTAGATAGCATTGAATCACTTTTATTTTCAGAGTTTTGAAATGAAAATGTATCATTTATTTGTGTGCGCGTGGAGGGGGGATTAGACCCCCTCTGAAGGTTCACAGGGCTTACTCCTGGCTCTTCATTACAGATCACTCCTGGTAGGCTCAGGTCCTGCACTATTGTTCCAGGCCCCCCAAATGAATTTAATTGTGCTAAGTTTCTTTTCTATTTTGGGGGACAGGTGGTGGCAGTGATCAAACCCTGGACCTCACCCATGAAAGGAATGTGCTTTCCTAGTGACCTAACTTCCCAGCTCTTACTTTATATGTAAAGGTAAAGGTAAAGGCCCTCCCGTTGATCGTCGATTTGCTCGAGCGAGCCCAGTAACGTCTCCATTGGAGACTTTGTTGTTACTGTGTCTGGCATATCGAATACTCTCGGTAGCTTGCCGGGCTCTCCGAGAGGGGCGGAGGAATCGAACTCGGGTTGGCCATGTTGGCCGCTTGTAAGGTGAACGCCCTACCCGCTGTGCTATCGCTCCAGCCCTACTAACCTAACTTTATATGTATGAAACAAATTCTCCTTTTATTTATTTCTAATTTTTGCCTTATGTATATATCTGACTATATCAATGTATCATTATGTTTTACTTCTATGATTTAAATTTTTTATTAAAAATTGAGGACTGGAGCAATAGCACAGCAGGTAGGGCATTTGCCTTGCACGTGGCCAACACGGCCGAACCCGAGTTCGATTTCTCCGCCCCTCTCAGAGAGCCCGGCAAGCTACCGAGAGTATCTTGCCTGCACAGCAAAGCCTGGCAAGCTCCCCGTGGCATATTCGATGTGTCAAACACAGTAACAACAAGTCTCACAATAGAGACGTTACAGGGTCGCTCAAGCAAATCGATGAACAACAGGAAGACAGTGCAGCGCTACAGTGCTATTTAAAATTGAACTGTTATCCCATTTGAACAAAACATTCAATCCTAAGCACAATTCCTCTAAAGAAATAATAAAAAAAATGCATATAGGTACTCACCCTCCCATATCTGTTGGCATAGGACCCAGTAAGCAAAGAATGAAACACAATGATTGTCTCGTCCAAGTCCCAAATGAACACTCTCTACAAAAAAGAACAAATCAATGTCTTTCCTCTGGTTAAGAAACCTGATATTCAGCTAGCATCAACAAGAAAAGGAGTCTTAAAATGGAAGAAAAATTAAAATCCTGAATTTACAATTTTTAAAACTGTAACCATTCCAATGGGCATCTCCCAGCTTTTATGAGAAAAAACCTCAGACAAGGGATAAGAGGACAACTATACAACTATATTAGTACTGGTAATATAAATATAGCAAAGAAATGGATATTCACTTCTCTAGCAGAATCTATCTCTGAAGAAAAATTAGCTAAAATAGTCACTTTTTGTAACTTCTGAGATAGAGACAACCAGTGAAGCAATCATTCAACTGATCTTTTTGTTATCTCTGCTCTCTTTGAATGGAGAAATGTTTAAACGATGAATCTTTTTACTCTCTTAAAACCACATGTAAAAAAGTTCACATAAGACTAGAGTTTCATAGCAATTATGTTACCTGTGGCTATTATCAAATGGACTGTGTGTAAACTTCTAGCTTCCATGTTTTGTGCAGATAACATAGCTAACTTATGCCACAGATGGCATGGGCTTTTGGATATGGTCTCAGAGTGTTTGGAATTAGATTAGCAAAACTCATTTCTAAAAGGTCTTTGAGATACCACAGAAGACCTCCCAAGCCTGTTTTTTATCCCATTTCTACTCATACCAGTGCATATTCATACACATCGATTCTGCTGGAAAATTTTCATCTTTTCAGCCAAAGTAATCATGTTTTCCACCATCAGATTTTACTTTGGCAAAAAACAGAAACTTAATTGCAGCAGATTCAAGGCTATGAAATCTACCACCCTTTAAAGTTTTATGTAATCCCTCCTGCTTTTGAACTCCACCAAAACATGTCTCAGAAGGTGATTACCATTTCACTTTAGAACATTCCGGGCTTTCTTCTCTCAATATACCTAAGTGTGTCTTTAATTTCAAAGTAGATTTAACTAAGCATCTTTAGTACCACACTTACTTAATTGAAATGGCTAAGATTCAGAGCAGTACAAGAGAATTTTGTTTAAATACAATGCTATTAGTTTACTGTATTGCCTTGGAGAGAAATAAACGTCTTTTATCATATGGTAAAATGGAAGAGAAAACAGAAAAAACTGTCATGCTTTATTAATATAAAGGGAGAAAATGCTTGCTTATCATTAGCGAAGATAAGAAAGCACTTTCAGAAATATTTTAGAGACCATCATCACTGGCATTTATTTATGCAACAGGTATATAGGCCCTACAAAGACATGTTTTACATCTGGGCATGGCAATGATATATACCTCAAGATCAGAATCTGGTGGAGGTGAAGGGTTGTTGTTTCTCCGGCCCCGTCCACGTGATTTCCCATCTGAACCTCGGCGCAATCGATCAGAATCTGAATCCTTAATGGGTGTTGATGGACTGTGGATTGTACTGTACTCTGCAGAAATACAGGAAGGATTTTAGTCCCAGTTCTAGCTCCATGTGCCAAGATTGACCTTAGTTAATTTCATAGGGAAGTTTGAGAGCGAAACACACTTTGTTCTGCTCAGATTCTCTTTTACATGCATTGATAAAACACTTGAAATCGTTGATTGTAGACAGATAGATTCTAATCTAGATAGACTTACAGATTTGTTTCAGAAGAATGAGTGATCAGGCTGGGGGATGACCCAAAGGGCGGAAGTGCATGCTTTGCATGTGGAAGCCTGGGCTGGATTCCTGGCACTGCAAAGGAATTCCTGAGCAATGGTGGGGAATAATGCTCAAGAATCAAGATGGAAGGAGTCCCTAAGCACTACCAGGTGTGGCTCCCGATATTTTTTAAAAGAAATAAAACAGTATGTGATGAGACATTTAATTGAAATGGGAGATAAGAGGTTGTACTAAGTTGTCTAGATTTCTTTCTGGTTCTCTATGATTCTATAATGAGCACCCTCTCCACCCCTATCCTCCACCATGCACCCCCCACTCTCCACCAATCTTCATACTTTCACATTTCCTTGATAGACATAGAGTCTCCCTTTATCCCACATTTTATGTGAGAACAAGGAATAGCAAGTTAAGTAAAGCTGATATATGGGCATTGTTCATACACAGCTCATCATAGGCTCATTCTATATCATAGTCCCTTTAAACCAAACTCCCAAATGAGATAGCAAATTAAAATTACTTATTTGGGCACTCAGAGAAATCATGGAAACAATAATGCAAAAACCACTAAATAAAAAACAATCCACAACTGGTTCAGAGGAATAGCTGGGCAATGGGTTTGGAATGGGGAGACTCTGATTGCAGAATGAGAAAAATATCATTGCTATCATCTTTAGGTGTGTGTGTGTGTGTGTGTGTGTTTTCTTTTTCCACCTAGTTTACCTATCAAACAATCCCACCTCTCCTCATTGCACAAAGTACCCACGTGCTGGCTCTCATCACAAGGAATTTTGCCTGATTTCTCTTGTAGATATAGGTTGGAATCTGCCTGTCTAATATGGGAAAATGATTATTTTTCATGTAATATCATATTTCACAAACAAGTTATAAAGAAGAGATGAACACTAGATAGCTTTTGTCAATACACCTACTCATTTTGAATGTGTTCAATCTACTGAGGCCATTCAAGTTTCACACCACTTGGTCTCACTAATACCTCCAAGTTTAAGAGCATCTCCAAAACCTTATGGGAAAAGACTAAGTAGGAAAGGATTTTTCAGAGTAAACTCCATTTCTACAGCATGTGAAGTAGCCTGTACCTTCCTCTACTGAAGGTCTACTTGATTCCTACTTTTGCATGTCCTCTGCAGTAAGAACAAGACAGCAAATGTTCTCATGTAAACTGCTTATATTTGTGATTTTTGTCCCCAGAAACTACCATATGATTTAAAAATATATTGATTAATTATATCTTGAACCATAATTAACAGACTTGTAAATCATAATGCTGGTTTCCAGTTATACCATACAAAGTCCAAAATAACTACTCTATGAGTTAATTTACTCAGCTATTTGAAATTTATCTGAAGCTAACTCCTCTCATAAAACTATTAGAACCCTTCGCAAGATGGTCAGAGTTAGGCTTTCTTTAAGTCTATATTAAAGTATTTGTTGCTGAGGCAAATAGCTCGCGTCTTCTCAACATGTTCCAAATGATGCATCTTCTGTGCCATTATGTCATAAGTTTTGCTTTGAGATATAAGTCTTAGTATTCCTTTTCTTTAAATACAACCAATATCTTAAGGAGAACTCAGTGAGTCACCACATGAGAGAACAATACATCCCAACCTTTAATAATCTGAAAACAAAGTATTTCCTTTGAAACTGGAACAGATGGTCTCTAATTCAACCTGTACTTGAAAATACACGATTGAAAAGTTTATTCTGAATTGTGAGTCCTTCAGTTTTTGTTTTAGGGCCACAACTGGCATTGCTCAGGGCTTCTGGCTCTGTGTGCTCCATGGACCGTATGCAGTGCCAATGATTTGAAGCAAGTGCCTTACCCACTGTACTCTTTCTTTGGCTTGCTCTTCAGTTTTTGAAGTTCATATTTCAGAAGAAGCTAAATAAAAAATCAAGCCATGTATCTAATCACTATTTCTTTTGCCTTGAATACAAGAAACTTTAAGGAATAACTTTATCCTCAAAGTCCTTTTTCTTACTTAGCTTTTTAATTTTATTTTTGATTCGTCTGAATTCTGAGTGGTATCAAAGGAACTCCTCCTGGCTCTGGGGTCACTCTTGAAGTGTGTGAGGAGATACTGGGTTTTAAACCTGATCAACTGCTTTCAAGGCAAGATCCTTAACCTCTGTACCCTCTGTTTGGTTTATTAATAGGTTCTCTTGCCCTAGGCTTTTCACTGATTGTCCTCTCCTTCAGTTACTCTTTATCCTTATTTTAAATATAATTATTTAAAAACACATTCCATCTCAATTTTTTTTAAAGAAATGCTATCAATAGTTGATTACTCACATTTTAAACATCTCTCCCAAAGAAACAGATTCAATGAGCAAAGAATATTAGAGTATTTGTATACCATGTTTTCTGAAGTTTTTTAGCTAGAAAAAAAGTTCTGAAGGATTGACAATCTGGTACATGATCAATCTGGTAGCTTTAAACGTGATCACACAGCCCCCTTACAGATCTGAACTTATTAGAAGGAAGACAAAATTTAAATGGTTCAAGTGAGTTGAAAAGACAAATCTCTTCCTCTTTGTTCTGTGAGGTGGAATTTAAATGCTTCTACTCTCCTAACCAGCTTTCCTGATCCTAATTTCTCCTTCCTCCTAGTCCTGCAAAACAACTCAACAAATAATTTAATCTTCTAATCCACCAACATCTCATGTTTCGTTAAAATCCTCTCCAAATTGTTCGCTTTACCCCCACTGAGATAATATATGTGAAATTCCTCAGAAGACAATTTATTTCATTTAGCAAACATTAATTGAACGCTGATATATATTAAATGTCCAAAGTATAGTGATGTATCGTCCACTTATGGTTCCTGTTTTCTTGGGGCTTATGATTCAGGAAAAGGCACTGATTCATGGACAAAAAAAGAGAAATTATAAACCAATGTAAAGCAGAGTATGTCATGAAAAGATGTTAGGGAAGCCACTAAGAAGTCTACATAACTCAGAAATAAAAGACTATAGAAGCTTCCTGAAAATGGGTCATGAATTCACCAGGGAAAGAAAATAAAAATGTGTTTTAAGAAGGGACATGTGCATATGCAAAAATAAAAAAGACTGAGAAAGACATGTGTAAAAACTGGGGTGGTGAGACTAGAGCAATAGCACAGTGGGGAGGGCATTTGCCTTGCACATGGCAGACTCAGATTCGATTCCCAGCATCCCATATGGTCTCCTGAGCACCGCCAGGAGAAATTCCTGAGTGCAGAGCCAGGAGTAACCCCTGTGCATTGCCGGGTGTGACTCAAATGAAAAAAAAAAAGAAAAAAAACTGGGGTGGTGTGGGAACTCTCAAACTGACCTGCATCCATAAAGGAAGACTAAAGAAAGAGACTTAAGTGCTAGGAAATGAGTTAAACAAAGTGATATCATATCTACCTTCTAGATACATGGTTCAAGCTTCAGGGCTGCTCAGCACTGGTGATGAGCAAAGACTTCAAAAAGGGTGCCAAGCCTGAAGGAAATTCTGTAACCCAAGTGAAGGACAGTGGTGGTACAACTGCAGATAAGAGTGCAGAAAAAACTACAGATTTGAAGTGATAGTAGGAGGTAAAGGTAAAGGTAAAGGCCCTCCCGTTGATCGTCGATTTGCTCGAGCGAGCCCAGTAACGTCTCCATTGGAGACTTTGTTGTTACTGTGTCTGGCATATCCAATACTCTCGGTAGCTTGCCGGGCTCTCCGAGAGGGGCGGAGGAATCGAACTCGGGTCGGCCATGTTGACCGCTTGTAAGGCGAACGCCCTACCCACTGTGCTATCGCTAAAGAGAAGGAAATCAAGGATGATGCTCATGCCAGTGGCTTGGCATCTGAGCAAAATGTAATATGAGGTTTGGGGTTTACCAAAAAGAAGAAATTATAGTTTAAGTATGTAGGTAAGGCATATAGACTAGGAGTATACACAGCCCAAGAAGAATGCGAATGCTTTGTATGCATAAGGACCTGGGTTTGGTGATGGTATCCAATAACGACATACAAAATAAGAAAACAACAGACAAAAAATGTAGGTATGAACTCAAGTCCAGTTTTGTGTTCAATGAACTTAAAAAGTCTTGAGCACTCAAGAAAATACATTCGGTAGATTACTAAACAGCTCTTGGGAAAGGAAAGTGGGCTGGGTTTCATTTCCAAAACTTACACTTTATAAAATATCATTAAAGAAATGGATCTAAGTAAAGAGAATGTGTATAATGGATAGGCAGAACAAAAACACTGTTGGAGTATGAAGCAAAAATCATGGTTATGTATTACAGAAGAAAGAAGATGTCAAGAAAGAAAGACTAAACAGGAACATCAAACGGAACAAGAGATGAAACAAAGAGTACTGTTTCTGAGAGTACTTTCAGCATCACAAAGGTCTTTGGCATCTGTGCTGAAAGTATAGATCTGAGAAGCATTCCAGAGAAAGACTGGTAGTATAAAAACACGTGAGCAGACAGTACAGAGTAAGGAGGAATTAAATCCCCTAAAATGCTGCTGATGACACTATAATCACCAAATTCAATAAAGTTTTCATTCTGTTTTTTTATTTTCATTAAACAAGTTTTATTGGATCAGCTTGATCATATTGGATCACTACAGTTACAAACTTGCATGATTGCATTTCATTTGAACAATGCTAGAGCACCCATCCCTCCACCAGTGCACATTTTCCACCACCATTGTTTCCAGTGTCCCATCCACCACCCTCACTCTACCTCATTCCCTGCCTCTGTGGCAGGTACAGTCCTTCTTACTCTCTCTCTAATTTGGGGCAT